TTGCCAATTATCTGGCCTAGCATAAAGGACACGGCCATCATAAAGATGAACCAACAACCAAATTGTATTTGATACAAAAGAGTCAGTTCATGGGTGAGCGCTGGGGGTATAAACAAGTCAGTCAGATGATACATAATCGACATCAATCCCACTGACCCCAACAGCAACACCGCACGACCAACAAGGGGTGGAATAAATGGCGAAATGCAGCTTCCCATAGAAGGGACAGGAGACAACCGAGTCAACAAGCCAAAAACGTAAGACTAAGAAAGGCATATACTGATATCTCTACACAGCCCGTGTTTGCAAAGCCAGACCTAACTTGAGCCCAGATCCAAGGACGTATGAGGTCCTTCCCCAACAGGGAACTCTGCAAAGTGCATCCACCTCACAGACAGACACTCTCCTTTCCTGCAAGGGGTCCCAGCTTTTATCCCTAAGTGGGACACCTGACCCTCGTTTCCTTAATGTGGGACACCTGGGGCTCTTTTACCCTATGGCTCTCCCCGCAAGGCCAGCCGTACCTTGGAGGGAAGCCTAAAGGCAAACTCACCTCCCCTTTGTGAAGGGCTGTGGGAATCACCCACATGCCAACCTTGATTTGGGGCTTGGGGTTGAAACCCCAGCATTTCACCCTGTGCTGACAGTTTGCAATCTCTTTGACTGATCATTTCAGCAGAATGTCTGGGTAATGTTTGCTACTGCAACAGAACAAAGTACACTAGAGTTGCCAATTCTTTTAAGAGAAAATGCTAACAGTAATTGCAACTCCTTAATGAAATAGGCTTACTAGTCACTACTGAAAGATGTAGTTTAGATGAAATGTAGTTATTAATAAGGATGAAATTCAGTAAGAATGTGTGTCTGCAACTTTCTTTGTTTATTAGCAATATGAAGAATTAAGAGCTTAAGTCTTTAACATTTCTAGAAACTCCCTTAGTTTTCTCCCTGGAGTGCTGGCCAGGCTCTGGGCGGAACCCAACAGGAGGATGAAATGAGGTGTTTCCGCTCACATAAAATTGCCAGTTATTTTGGCCTGTTGATTTAGAGGCTGGACCTGCTTGCAGCGATGTGGGATGCCTCACCTACGGATGGACGCATCGCGTAGGGTTTCCAGTTCGCGAGGAAGGGCCCTCTGAATTCTCGCTGCATCCAGGGTTCCCTAGCCACTGCCGATCTGAATCTTAGTACTTCTATTAATTAAGTGTGCTATTCCGTATTTTCCTTACTGTTTATTTTTGTAGTGTTTGGTCATATCCCCTATTTATAGGTAGTGAAATTAGCCTACTCTTTTTTAAGTAGGAATTGTAACTGCTGTATTGTTTTAGCCTTCTGTGGGACTATCCTAAGCATGCTGTGTTTTGAAGTTTATCTAACCCTTAATTGATAACAGCTCCCAAACAAGTCTTGCAGGTGCCGCTGCAAAACAGAGAAAGATGAGATCTGGGAGGCATCGGCCTTACACAGCCCCTGACAAACAGCTGAGCTTGGATGAAGAACAGGCCTCCTAAGATAGATAAGAAACTGCTGAGTTGTGCCAAGGTGGCAGGGAAAAATCAATCAGGACAGCAGACATTTTGCCTGGGCTTAGCAACTGCTGCCGACCCATCTCAGACCTGTCTGATTGGAGTTAGAGCTGAGAGGCTCTCTTCCCCCAGTAGCTGGGAATAGCATGCAAGATCAGGCCTGGGGATGGATATAGGCTAGGATGGCAAAACATGACTCCTTCAGCAGTACCAGTAAATGACACTTGGTTTTGTAGTGATGCTTACACGATGGGTTTCCATCTCGAAGAAGGAAAAATATTTAATAATGATTCAGCTAAAAGGTTACCAGTTACTAGATGGTTACAGAATTTGGTTTTATGTGGAATAAGCGTTTTAATTGTCATTGTAATCTTTTCACGATGTTAAGCTGTGTGTGGAAGCGTTTTTTGAAAATGATGGACTGAACAATAAAAGGGGTCTAGATCGCTCAAAAACAAAAAGAGGGATTCGTGGACTGGTTAAAAAACAACAGACCGAATGTTATGAGCGATCCAGACCGAATGGCCTCACTGTAACAACAGGCTGTAGCTGTTGTGAAGAACACCTGCAAAGCCAAGGGGCTGACAAACAGTGTGCGTAGCAAAAGATAAGAAAGCTGTACTGCTGAAAGCAAGACGTTTGCCCAGCAGGAGAACAGCGCATGGACACCACGCTGGGACCAATCATACAGGGCAAAAGGGCAAGCAATAGTGGAACGTGCGCATCGCACCCTAAAAGCAAAACTACAACAGCTTGGGGAGGGGGAAGGTCATAAGGGGACAATACTCATAGACCGACAGCAGACTCTTTTGTCCCGTGCCCTTTATGCTTTAAATCCTTTTGTTAGAGGCGACGTGTCCACACCTCCCCTGTGGAAACAATTTATGGCAACCCAGGCGACAAAAAACTCTCCTTTGGCTCAGGTCAAGGAACCGGGAGCGATAGCATGGGAATCAGGCTGGTCGCTGAGAGTGTTTGGGCATGGGTACGCAGCAGTGGAAAAGGATGGTTTAATTAAATGGATACCTGCACGATGTATACAATCTGAAATAACCGTTTCTTCTTAAAAGTTTTTGCAGATTTTCTGCGGCCTTTGGCTACTTGGAGCTTTCGCTAGATGAACCATCTCGCCCAGACCCAACATATGGGCACGCACTACAGAGAAGCATGCAGCAGCTGTGGTGAATACAGGAAAAGAACGAAGAGAGAAAGCAAAGGAAAAAGGGAACGGAGTAAAAAACCCTACATATGTAGAAACAGAACAACAAGCACTTCAATTATTACGACTGTCCTGGTTCAGCCAGGATAGAGTAAAGTTTTCCCCAGCAGAGAGAGAGGGGGAAGGGATCTCCAGCGGGGTTATTCATACCATGATGGCGTCAGGTCCAGGGGCGGAGCCTTTTTACTTTCGCTTCTGGTTTTGGTTTTTGCCATACACATGGCGGGTTTGCTCCTTGATCATTTAGCAGTATTTCTCTGTATATCTTTTGTCTTGTTCATGTTATTGCTGTTTATTGTTGTGACCATTGATACTGTTGTTATTCAGATTGTTCTATGACTCTGTTGTATTAAATTTCTTCTTATTTATCCCGGGTCTGTGTTTAACTTCCAACCTGACAGGCGCAGGTGGGGGAGGGGCAACGGCAACGTGCTCTCTCATCCCAGCAAGGATTAAAACTTGCACAACGATTATAGCTATATAGCATGGGGAGGGGGAGGTTTAGGGAGAGTTATGACATGCGGTTCCTACGCCTCTGAGGTCAGGGCCTGGCTCAGCCACAGGACACTCGGGCCAAAGCTGCCTGGCTGGAAGCAGCTCGTGCTGTCCTGGTGGCTGTGCACCCACGGTGGGAGCGCTTCTGTCAGGGATCAGGTTGGAGCTTTTGCCCCAGTGGCCGTACCCTGTGCAGGGAAAACTCCTGGGGCCGAAGGAGGGACACGGCAAGATTGCCAGAGAGCTTGCTTTCTCCCCAACATGGCACGGAGACAGGCTCGCACAAAATCACAAGGGGCACTGAGAACCCGGTCCAGGAGAAGAGCTGGCAGCGACACAGAGAATAGGTACGTATGTGCCGGGGCCTCTGCGCTCACAGCTCCCGCCTGCCTCAGGCCGCACGGTGTGGAGACAGTGCACAAGAGGACTCTCTCTTATTCCTCCCCCAGGTTCACCCCTTCTCCGGCGGGCCAGGGCGCGGCCCAGCCAGGGCCTGTGTGCTGCAGGGACAGCTCTCAAGAAAAGGAGAGTAAGTTCAAAGCTGCTTTGATCAGCAAAATCCTCTGGGATGCACCCAGGGAGCTCCTCTGGGCCAGAGCTGGAGTAGGTGGTGCTGGC